TATTCCACTCGGGACATGTAAGTGGTTTCTATCTTTTTGCTATTCTGAATAGTGCTGCAATGGACATAGGTGTGTGTCTATTCATGTGTTGCTCTTATTTCTCTAGGACATACACAAAGTGGATAGATTGATGGGCCATATGATATTTTTATTACCGACTTCTTAAGCAAGCACCACACCTCTTTCCAAAGTGGTTGTACCATTTTATAGGCCCACCGGCGATGTATATGAGGGTTCGGTTTCTCCACAAACTCACTGGTCTTCTTTTTCTAACTTTGCTATGAATTCTGGAGTGAGGTGGTATCTCGTTGTTTTGGTTTGCAAACCTCAAAAGGCGAATGCTTATGACCATTTCTTCATGTTCATTGGCCACTTTTCAATGATATTATCTGCCTTTCTCTTGGTGTGTTTAAATTTTCTATACATTTTAATGATCAGTAGGAGTCCTGGTGGCATTGTGGTGACACAGGGGGCTGTTAACTACAAGGTCAGCAGTTCAAACCACTAGCTGTTCCATGGGACAGAGACGGGGTTTCCACGCCCGTGAAGAGTGACCATCTCAGAGGCTCACAGGGGCGGCCTACCCTGTTTTAGGGGGTCTCAGCGACTTGGCGGCAGTGAGTCAGGCTTTTGGTTGTTAGAGCATCTTATTTGACATGTCTTTGCCAAAGATCTTTTCCCAAATTGTGGCTTCTCATTGTACTCATCTGTGAAATCTTTCACTGCACAGAAGTCTCTAATTTTTCAGGCGGTGCCATTCCTCTATTTTGTCTTCTGTTTGTGCGTGTTTCAGTAGGTTTGACAGTGCATTTATGCCACACATTCCACCCATACGTTTGACCTTGTTTTTCCATTGTCAATCTTCATAGTGCTAAGGTGGATTTTTTTTCCCTCTAAATTTTTTTTATTATGACTTAGGTGAAAGTTTACAGATAAGATGATCAGTTTTATATTAAAAATTTTCATGCACATTTTGTCTTAACCCTTTCCTTGCAGTCCCTACAATGTAACACCTCTGAGCACCCTTCTTCCTTCTTCTTCTTTTTTAAGCATTTTATTGGGGGCTAGTACAGCTCTTATCACAATCCATCCATCCATCCATCCATCCATCCATCCATCCATCCATCCATC